GAGAGAGAGAGAGAGAGAGAGAGAGAGAGAGAGAGAGAGAGAGAATCGCGCATTGATGCGCATGGATTTATATTTGCATCGCGATTTTAATCGTTCACGTCAACGCGACGATATTGTCCGCGAAGAATCCCGGATAACGATTGACGATGACAGGAGGGAAGAGTCTCTCGCTCGCGTCGCATTGAAAACGCGACTGTCTCTTTCGACGACTAATGTTGCGATAAATAAACGCGCACCGGTGAATTCCGATACTGGTCGCTCGAGAACTCAGCTGTCGGGTCTGAAAAGTTACAAAACGACCCGCCAGAAAATGTCGATCGTCCTTGATTATTATTACGGCAATCCTTCCGTCGAGTGGCGTCATACGGCAATGAAGAAAAAAAGCCAATGGTATCTATTACCTCGTTTAACCTTATATCGTCCTCATCACTTTTACTACTAACGCTTTACTTGATCGTAACGAGACCTGTGCGAAAGATCCGATAAAAAATTTCAGCTCGGAAAAAGTCGCCGAGCTTTACTTTCGACACGACCAAGTTATTATCCTCTAAACGCCTCTTTGCGCGAATTAAATGACTCTCGCGCACACAAAAAGTGTGCTCTCGGACGTACGAGATACCTGTACGAGAGCTTAAGCCAACTAAAAGCGAACGGAACGCGCCGACGTTTCTCTACGCGAAAATCCGTAACGCACGCGTTTCCACAGACGAAAAAAAAAAAAAAGGGGGTAGTCGCGAAAGTAGAATCTCGCCGGCCGAAAGCTCGTCAGAAATCAAGTTTCCCGGCATAGGCGGGACTTTGTTTTCAAACATATTCCGTTCCTGCACCGAGTAAAAAGCACCAGGGGCTCCGATTTCACGAGGAAACCCCGTGCTGAATCCGACGGTGCGCGCGGGCACCGAGGGCCGTTCACGCTCACGCGCGCGCGCGTGCACGCACGCACGCACGCACGCACGCACACGGCCAGAAACGCGGCGCATCGCGCGATGCGCTCGCCGCGTTGCCGCTGGTAACTCAATCCGAGGAGTTTCGGCGAAAAGTGTTGTATTACTGGTGTGCTATTTCTCTGATCCCAGATCATCTTCATTCGCGCGGAATTTCGAAACGGCGCAAAATTCACAGCCCCCAGCCCACGGCACCATCGATCCAACCCGCGCGCTTCGGACGCGCACGGTAGCTCGCGCGTCAAACGCGAGTGGCTCCTCTTTAACGCCCAAATTTCTCGTCGATACTCTTTCCTGAAATTCTTACTGCCGCGCTTCACCTTTGCCTTATCTCAAGCCTGCTTAAATTATCTCTAATTATAACGAGCATTAATAATGGAATATTATTCCGACACGTTGACTGAAATACAAC